GAGGCAGGCGGATCTCTGTGAGTTTGAGGCCAGCCTGGTCTACAGAGCAAGTACCAAGACAGGATGCAATGCTACAGAAAAACCCTGTCTCGAAAAATCTAAATAAATAAAGAAAAAACCTCATTGTCTAGTTCAGCTCCAGAAGCCCAGGGGCACGGTTCCACTGGGCTCAGTGGTTGGTGTGCACACTTGCCTAGTGCCCAAGCCCTGGCTTAGATCCCTGGCACTGACCATCAAGTGCTTTAAAACTGACCTGGCTGTCCCTTCAAACTTCCTCCTACACATCTCTGATTACAAACATTGCCGTCAACCTTTGACACAGACTTGATTAAATCTATCATATGAAAATGACCTATGGTCACTTTGATCAGTGTTCAGCTTAGTGATAGCAAATGGTACTCTCTCTCCCTCATGTGCTCTTGTCTTTCTAAAACCACACATTATTTAATTATTGGAGTGATTTTTCTGATTCTTTGTTGGGGTTTTCCCAACCCCTAACCCGCCCCTTTTTTTTGTAGGGTTGATTATGTAGCCCAGACTGACCTGGAACTCACCAGAGGCTGGCCTCAGCAGCAGAGTGCTGGAATTACAAGTGTCACCATGCCCAGTTAATAATTCACTATCTTTTAAAAGTTTTTTTTTAATATTTTATTTTAAATTATGTGGGTGTGGGGTGGGGAGAGGCAGATTGTGTGAAGGCAGGTGTCTGACAGGACCAGAATAGGACCTAGGACCACTGGAAGCTAGGGCTCCAGGGGGATGTGAGAGCTGACATGGGTGCAGGGAACTCAACTCAGGTCCTCCAAAAGAGGAGCCAACATCTCTCCAGTCCCCCACTCTGTATGTTTGTTTGTTTACTGAGGAGGGGAGGGCAGAGGACAACTTGGGCAATTTGAGAATCCCAGAGATCAGACTCCGCTTGGCAGCACCTCGGCCCACAAAGCCATCTCACCTGCCCTTATCCAGCATGGTACCTTTGGACCCTTCCAGGTGTAAGAGCATTCCAACGTCAACTCCCAGAGTTGTCCTCTGACCTCCACATGGTCACTGTGGTCTGCACCCATGTGCCCTTGCCCCACGTCAATGTAATAATAATAATAATAATAATAAAATGACATTTCAACAATCTCTCTTCCTGTTGCTGTCACCGTCGTCATCACAATCGGCTGCTGCCATCGTCATGGCTAGCGTTTGTTAGGAGTCTGGGGCGTCTGGGGCTAGGCTGCTCACTGACCTCCTTTTACAGCAACGAGGTAGCGATACCATCTCCATCCAGTCTACCTTAGGAAGAAAGGTTAGGAAATGGCTATTTGCATAGCTACCAGGTACTACTCAGAACTGAACGCAGCTTAATTGAGACTTCTGGTTTATTTTATTTTATTTTATTTATTTATTTATTTATTTTGGTTTTTTGAGACAGGGTTTCTCTGTGGTTTTGGAACCTGTCCTGGAACTAGCTAGCTCTTGTAGACCAGCCTGGTCTCGAACTCACAGAGATCCGCCTGCCTCTGCCTCCCGAGTGCTGGGATTAAAGGCGTGCGCCACCACCGCCCGGCTCTGGTTTATTTTTTTCTCACCTTCTTTTATTTTTTCTGAGCCCACTTAAATGTTCTGGGTTTTTGTTGTTTGCCTTATTTGTGGATGAACCTAGGAATGCTAGGTGAATTTCTTTTCTTTTCTTCTCTTTCTTTCTTTTTTTGAGACAGTTTCCCAGTAGCTCTGGAACTCGCTCTGTAGATCAGAGCTGGTCTTGAACTACAGAGGTCCACTTGCCTCTGCCTCCCAAGTGCCAAGATTAAAGGTGTGCACTACCACCGCCTGGCTCTGTTTTTGCTTTTTTGTGTTTTTTGTTATGTTTGTTTGTTTGTTTGTTTGTTTGTTTTTGAGACAGGGTTTCTCTGTAGCTTTGGAACCTGTCCTGGAACTAGCTCTTGTAGACCAGGCTAGATTTGAACTAATTACTCAGCCATAAATCTGGCTACCCTATACAGCTCAGTTTGGCAATCCTCCTGCCTCAACCTCTCACGTGCTAGGATTACAGGTATGAGCAACTATACCTGGTTCATAAAATGATTTTAATCATGATCTTTATGTTGGGTCATATTCATTCTTTCTCGTCCATCAGTGTCTGTTGGGTGAAAGGTGGGCATGGTAGGGGCATGCTTGTAATGTAGGCAACTGGGAAGGCAAAAGCAAAGAAATTGTGTGAGACCTGCCTGGGCTAAGGAGTATATAGTGAGGATATTAGGAAGTACAAAAGGGCCGGGCATTGGTGGCACACGCCTTTAATCCCAGCAGTCAGGAGGCAGGGGCAGGTGGATCTTTCTGATGTCAAGGCCAGCCTGGTCTACAAAGAGAGTTCCAGGACAGCCAGGGCTACACAGAGAAATCCTGTCTCTCAACCCCACCCCCCCAAAAAAAAGGAAAACAAAGTGGGGGAGATGATAGATATAAATGAAGACATATTGAACAGGGAGATTTTGCTGTTGTTTTAAGACAAGAGCTTGTGTATATCTGGCTAACTTTGAACTTTTGATCCTTTTGTCTCTACCTCCTTTGTGCTGGAATTGTGCTCCATGGAGCCATTTATATAGTGATGGGGATCAACCCCTGGTTTCCAGTGTGCCAGGCAAGCAAGCACTCTACCAATGAGCTGCAGCCCCAGCCCAGGGAGATTTTTTTTAATGACCCCACATGACTGTCAGATGGGTGGAGGGGGCAGTGAATGAATGCTTGGAGTTTGCTCAGCAAAATGTGGAAGTACATCTGCCTCCCTCGTTCAGAGCGCAAGGCTCTGAATAAGAGGGGTTTGGAGCAGAGCTCAGTGAACGGGGCACATGGAAGACCCTGGATTTATTTCCCAACATCATACATCTTTAGAAGAGGACGGGCATTTCCAGGGCAGGTTGACTGGAATCTTCAGAGGCACTAAGTCTGGAATAAGCACGTGTCAGGAGAGTGAAAACGAGTGGGAAATACCCTATGTGGGCAGAGCCGAGGGCCTGACAGAGAGGAAAGGACTGGAGGCCACTGGTGTTTTCAGGCTTCCTCTAGAGGAGGCTAGCCTGGCCCGGATGCTGGAATTGAAGGTGCGTGCACCACTTCAGGCATTCTTGTGCTTTTCCCGGCATCCTGTTCAAAGCCAGTGTCCTCGGCGTCTGAAAACGGAGGAGCAGAATTTGGGTCATTCCCTCGGCTCCCTTGGCTGTTGTGTTAGCTCTTATATGACCCTGTGTCACACTACTTACGTTTCATTTTCCTATCTGCAAAAAAGGAAGTAATTCTTGTTCCCCTGGGTTTTCTCCTTTCGTCATCAAAAATGAATGAGTTAGGCCACGAAACACAAACAAAAGGGAAATATGTCATGTTTTGTAAGAGGCATCCATAAAAGTTGTGGAGTCTCTGGGCATCTTTATAAATGTAAAGGAAACATTTAAATGCGTTAATACTGCAGCCATAACAGGCTCATTCCTCCTTTAAGTCCCTCGGACTTAAAAACAAAATAACGAAAATGGGATGCGGTTAGCTTTCAATTACTTTGGTCGCTGATAATTCAACTTATGGATTACAGAGGATGAGAGCTGACTCATTTCACACGTCGTCATCAACTCTCCATGAAGTTTAAAAGGACAAAAGAAGAAAGCGGAATCGGGTAGCTTTCCGTGGTATTTCCACGTGTACGTGGGGAATTTCCTTTGAGACAGGGCTGGGTCGGGGCCAATAATAGCCGGTATCGCCTGACTGCTAATACCAAGCTGAAAAGGGGACTACCCGAGCAATCTCTGATTAAACACAGCGGCCCCCTCCCACCCTCGCCGCTATCAGGAATTTTCCTTCTTCCTCCCGCCCTCTCGGAAGGGGCTGAGGCAGCATCTGGCACCAGAAAGCTAACATTTGTGTCGTGATTTTCTCTCTCGGGCACTCGGACTCGGGTGATTTCTGAAGGGATCAGGACCTACTGGTACCTTTAAAATTCTTTTTTTTTTTTCATTTCTAAATTGAGAATCTTTATCACCGGCTTCTCGCAGCCCCGGTCTCCCGGGTCTCTGTAAGACGCGTAGCAAGCCCCCACTCTCCTCGCAGGCCTGTGACTCCTTCACTCCCTCGGTGTGCAAACGCCGGTGACTCACGTCTTGCACAGCCTGCGCTCCCCCAAATCACAACCCCCACCCCCAGGATCGAGCCCACAGCGCGCATCGTCACCCCGCCTCGGCAGCCTTGGAGGTCTCGGGGCTGAGTCACACAAGAGGACCACCCTGCTCGGCGTCCACACACATGCACGCGGTCCCCCCGCACGGCCTCCGCGCCGGCCACACCAACGCCCTTCCACCGCTCTCAACTTGCTACGCTCCAGCGCTCGACCCCCTCTTCCCCCCCCATCAAATCACACCCCAAATCTCTGGGAAACCTAGAGCCGGAGGAGCTGGCCTCGGGCGGCCTTTGATGGCTTTGTTATTGTTTGGGTTTGAATCGATACGCCCCTCCCCATCCTTCCTCCCCGGCCGCGCGCGCCACCCAGCTCCCGCCTCCCCGCACGCCCAGCGCCCCTCCCCCTCCGTTTTGGCGCCTTTTCCTTCCCGCCACGTCGTGGCGGCGTTAGCGACCATTCTGACCGCGAGGCGCGGGGCGGGGCGGGGGCGGGGCCCGCGGCGCGTTATGCAGATGAAGTCACTCCCGGTTGGCTGGAGCCGCGACCGCGGGGGTGGGGTCGGGGGAAAGGGGCGAAGCCGCCAGGGGGCGGAGCGGAGGGGTGCGGCCCTGGTCCCGCCGCCTCCCCGCCCCCTCTCCGCCCTCCGCCGCCGCGCCTGCCGGGCTCCCCGCCTCGGCCTCCCGGAGAGGCCCCGCCCCGTCCCCGCCCGCCGCGCGCGCCCTCCCCGGCGGCGCGCTCCGCCCCTTTACTCCTGGCGGCGGGGCGAGCCGGGCGTCTGCAGCAGCGGCCGTGGTGGCGGAGGAGGCTGGAGGGGAGTCGGCCAGTGCCGGCGGCGGGATCGGCAGTAGCAGCAGCAGCAGCAGCCACAGACAGCAGCAGCCCTGGGTCCCGCGGCGCCACTCGCCCCGCCGCCTCCCGCACTGCCTGACCTGGCCGGCGAGCCCGCCCGCCGCCAGCGCCCTCGGTCGTCCTCTGACTCGCCCTCGGCCTTGCGCGCCAGCCGCAGCCCGAGCCGCAACGCCACCCGCAGTCTGAGCCCCGGCCGCCGGCGCAGCCCCAGCTCGCTCCGTCGCCGCTGCTGTTCGTCCCAGCACCGGCTCCGCACCGACACGCTGGAGGTGGGGATGCTCCTGTCTAAGATCAACTCCCTGGCCCACCTGCGCGCCGCGCCCTGCAACGACCTGCACGCTACCAAGCTGGCGCCGGGTGAGTGTCCCCACCCCACCCCAGCGCGCGGGTCCGGGGGGGCGTCCAGGGACCCCTGCGTGGGCCTCGCGCTTAGTGTCCCGTGCCTCCTCCCTAGGCAAAGAGAAGGAGCCCCTGGAGTCGCAGTACCAGGTGGGCCCGCTGTTGGGCAGCGGTGGCTTTGGCTCTGTCTACTCGGGCATCCGCGTCGCCGACAACTTGCCGGTGAGTGGGCACCCCGCCTTGGGGAGGGCGCGCGGAGGGATGCTTAAAGCAGGAGAGGGAGAATCTGATGGAGACCCGGGGCTCTCTTCCAGGTGGCCATCAAGCACGTGGAGAAGGACCGGATTTCCGACTGGGGAGAATTGGTGAGTGAGTCTGAGCCGGCGACCCTCCGTCTGGGTGGGTGGGTGGTGACGGGCGTGCCGGAACCGGCGCGCTAACCCCTCGTCCTCACCCTTGCAGCCCAATGGCACCCGAGTGCCCATGGAAGTGGTCCTGCTGAAGAAGGTGAGCTGCGGCTTCTCGGGCGTCATTAGACTTCTGGATTGGTTCGAGAGGCCCGATAGTTTCGTGCTGATTCTGGAGAGGCCCGAGCCGGTACAAGACCTCTTCGACTTTATCACCGAACGGGGAGCCCTTCAGGAGGAGCTGGCTCGAAGCTTCTTCTGGCAGGTGCTGGAGGCCGTGCGGCATTGCCACAACTGCGGGGTTCTCCACCGCGACATCAAGGACGAGAACATCCTCATCGACCTGAACCGCGGCGAGCTCAAACTCATCGACTTCGGGTCGGGGGCGCTGCTCAAGGACACAGTCTACACGGACTTCGATGGTGAGCCAGGCCCCGGGGAGGGAGATGCCCAAGGTGCCGGCTTGGAAGCCGCCGGCGGCCTCGGCTCCGGCCCTTTGTAAAGGTCATTGGGCTGCCGGGCTCACTGCTGGCAGGGGTGGGGCACAGGCGAGCTTCCCAACGTAGTACAGCCGGGGATTTCAAGCCGACTGTGCGAACCTGCAACATTTCTGGCGTGGTTGTAATTTTTTTTTTTAAGTGGAATTTAGTAAATTCCATGCTTTCCCGGCGAATACGAAGTCGAAGGCAACCGGCTGTAGCCCAGATTTCTAAAGTCTGACCCACTTTTCTCACCAGTGGAAGGAGGTGGAGCTGGTGGTGGCGGGAGACATAGATGCCGGTTTTGTAGTTTGTTTTGTTTTGAAGGGGAGTTTTAAGGTAGTTCTTCAGAACTGCAGGGGTTTTTTTGTTTTGTTTTGTTTTTGAGGATTAGGGAATCAGCCGCGGTTTCACTATACTTAGGGGTGTTGTGGGGTGACGAAGCCTGGAATGAGTGTTGTGAAATTAGATCTGTTGCTGGTTTGAAAATTAGTTGGGTGTCTCCCGCAGGGAGACTGAAAACCTATCATAGGGAGGGCCTTGGATCGCGTTCTTTCAGAAAAGGAATGGAGGGATACTAGATGAAAGCAAGAGGGTGGGTCGTGGTCTGAGTGGCTCGCCCTAACAAACGACAGCCTTTCAAAACTCTGACTCTGGCTTGTGGTTTGGATTTCTTTGCCTGTGGAGGACGCTGGGTTGGGCTGCATTTTTTGTATTTAACAGTTAATGGCTGGCTGAGTTGTCCTCCCTCGTGTTTTTTTTTTTCTTCCCTCCCCCCTGGGCAAGTCTTTGCTGCCCCCTGTTGAGCACCATGAGGCTAGCACTTTTTTCTTTTTTTTTTTTTTACTATCCAAAGTTTGTAAACAGGAATCACGTGGTCCGAAACCAACCCTGCAACTCTGCCTTTCTTGTCTAGGGAGGAAAGAGTGTAGGTGTTGTACTTTGCTTGCGCAGACCCCCCCCCCCCCCCAAGAAAGCTTCCCAAAGGGCACCCTGACTAGAGTCGGGTCTAGATGAGAATCTGATCTGACAGTCCTAGACAGGGTCTGTGCAGTTGAAGGCCGTCCCACTGTGAGTGAGTTTTACTACTGCCCAGGGCCCCAGACTTTAGCTTTTGAGTGACTGTTTGTTGGAGAGGGGGTTATATAAAGGATTTTAGTTTAGGGTTGGGGAAAAAATGTATTTTAAAGCCGGGTGCTGGTGGCACTTGCCTTTAACCATAGCTCTCTAGGCCAGGGCAGGCGGATCTCAAGGTCAGCGTGTTGAGGGAGTTTCATGCAGCACAGCCAGGGCAGCAGACACAGAGAAACCTTGTTTCAAAAAAAATTTTTTTTTCCAAGAAGCTACTTGGACTAGTTTGCTTTGTTTATTTTTGCTAAGGCTGTTTTCTTTCAATTCCCTTGGCTTGCAGGAACCCGAGTGTACAGTCCTCCAGAGTGGATTCGCTATCATCGCTACCATGGCAGGTCGGCAGCCGTCTGGTCCCTGGGGATTCTGCTCTACGATATGGTCTGCGGAGATATTCCCTTTGAGCATGACGAAGAGATCATCAAGGGTCAAGTGTTCTTCAGGCAAAGGGTCTCTTCAGGTAACTTTCACGAAACCCTTTGGTGGTCGGGACACTCACTGGGGGTTATTATATTTGGAAGGCTGGTTTTGAGAAGGCTTCCCACTCTTAAGACAGGGTTTCTCTATAGCTTTGAAGCCTGTCCTGGAACTAGCTTTGTAGACTCAGATCCTCCTGCCTCTCCCTCCCCAGTGCTGGGATTACAAGAGTGAACCACTAAACCTGGTACTTTGTAGAAGAAAGTATGGGGTTATGCCCTAGCTGTCATTTTTACTCATTTATTCATCTTCTTTTGAGGAGATGGGGCCACTAAGGAGGGCCCTGGCCTGCCTCTGATTTGATTTAGGAGACGGGGTTTAACTCAGAGTTCTGGTTGGTCTTGGAATCTTGTCTCAGCCCCTCCCCTTTTTCTTTCAGTTTTTGTTTTGGTCATGCTGGAATTGGAGCAGGTTTTATATACATCCCACCCAACCACCAGACCCTGTAAAGTTTAACTACCAGCGTAGACCTGATCTCTTAACAAAGTTTAGAGAAAAAAAAAAGTCAAGGGCTGTTTAAGCCACCTCCCCTTACGGCAATAACTCTCTAAGTATTGTGGTCCCCATGACCTCATCCTGAGTAGTGTCAGTGTTTGTAAGTTGGTAGATGAGTTGAATCACCTCATCTTGCTCGGTGGTGGCTCATCAAACCCTTGTCATCCTTCCTATTTCTGGTGAGTGGGTGTCGTGGGAAAGGCCCCAGCTATTTGAAGTTTGAAACCACAGGTTTAAGAGGGGAGCCAGTTTTTTTAACTGAAGGCATACGCAGGCTTTTGGTATTGGTCCTTTCCCGCTGAGAGGACCCAGCAGTGTTCTGAACAGAGTCCATGCTTCTTTAAAAACCCAGACGTGAAGGCCTTGGGAAGACCTTTGCTTCTCAAAAACAAGTCGAGTGAGTCACCCTTAACCTCCGTCTGTGCCTCCTCCTGCAGAGTGCCAGCATCTCATCAGATGGTGTCTGGCCCTGAGACCTTCAGATCGGCCATCCTTCGAAGAAATTCAGAACCATCCATGGATGCAGGATGTCCTCCTACCCCAGGCAACCGCCGAGATTCACCTGCGCAGCCTGTCGCCAGCGCCCAGCAAATAGCAGCCTTTCTATCAGACACTCTGGGCGGGACAGCTGTCTCTGGCTTCCAGGACCCTGCTTCATGCAGGGACAGCAATGACAACTCATTCCAGACTCCAGGTTCCTGGAGCAGCCTCCCACGGGGGAAAGAGATGCTACTTCATTTCCCAGGCCCCCATGCCCTCCCATAGACACTCTCACAGTGTCGAGTTTTGCTGGGCTCTGCAGAATCTTAGGGTGGGGGGTGGGAGTGGGTCAGAACCCTGCCATAGACCTTTAGTGACCTGGAGACTTCGGGTCACCAGGATGGGCTAGGGTAGGGGAAAAATATGCGGGGATGGGATTTAAAAAACAAAACAAAAACTAGCACCATATATTTAAGTCCCTGTCACCTCTTCCAACTCCTCTGAGTGCCTTCTGTGGGGACTCCGGCTGTGCTGGGAGAAATACTTGAACTTGCCTCTTACCTGCTGCTTCTCCAAGAATCTGCCTGGGTTTGGTTCCCTACTCTTCCCTGTTCCCCTCCCCCCACTTCCTGTGAAAGGTGCCGTGGAAGAGGCTGCAGGGCCAACTGCTGAGCCACCTGCCCTTTTTCTGCCTCCTTTAGTAAAACTCCCAAGTGAACTGGTCTTCCTTTTTGGTTTCTACTTAACTGTTTCAAAGCCAAGACCTCACACAGAATGCACAACCAATGCAACAACCAGACAAGCTGTAAATGTCTGTACAGTCGGCATGGTAGCCTGTGAAAGGATTGTAGTTGATGCAATTTAAGAAAAAAAATGCCTTTAAGTTATATTTGTTGTTGGGGTTTTTTGTTTTGTTTCTGAAAGATGGCAGTTCTGGCCTGGAAGTCAATGTTAATGTATTTATTTATTTATTTATTTGGTTCCCTTCCTGTTCCAAGCTTCCACTGGCTATTGCCTAGGGCTTTATTGTCATGATCTGTTTTCTTTTATTTTTTTCCCTCTTGACTTGGGGACCTTTTGGGGAGGGCTGCAATGCTTGCTGGGGTGAAGGGACTCCGGTGGGACAGCTGCTGTCGTCCCTTCTGTGGGGGGGGCCCTTGCCTGCTTACTGGAGTGGGTCTGGGCTCTGTCTGGGAAGGGGCATTGCTGACTGTACATAGAAAGGCAGTTCCGGCCGGCATGATGTGCCTCCCGGATCCTGTTTGAGCAGCGTGTAGCCTGCTGGTTTTATCTGAGTGAAATACTGTACAGGGGAAAAGAGATCTTATTTTTTTTTTTATACTTGGCATTTTTTGAATAAAAACCTTTTGTCTTAACTTGTGTTTTCTGTTCATTCATACAAAGACGTATACTTGGTCCAGAGCCAGGTAGAAAGGGCACGGGGAATCTGATTTCCTGGTGGGACAACCAGTGTGCAATGAAATGCAGGCCTTCCCTGCCTGTGAGGCAATCTCTCCACTAAGGAAATGTGCCCCAAAACAAGGCCTCAAAGTTTGGGGATCATCACCCTTATAAAGCAGATGCAGCCAAATTGTAGATGTTGGACAAGACTCAGTTGGGACTAATTTTCCCTAACGGCGTCATGTAAAGGACCAGCATTGAACATTCTCTTGCTACCACTATCAAATGCTGGGATTACAGGCAGCACTTGTGGGTTGTATATGCCTTGGCTGCCCTGAAACTCCTAGATCCTGCCTGTGCCTTCCCTAGTATTGGGATTAAAGGTGTGTGTAACCTTGCCCGGCTACACTGGGATAGATTTTTGAAGTCAGGTGGTAATCACCTGCCTAGCAGAATCACTTGAGTCCGGAAGCTGAAGATTAGCATAGGACAGATCTCAAAATACGCTGAATAGCAGGCATGCTGGTGTAAACCTATAACGCCAGCATTTGGAAATGGGAAGCTTCAGAATCAGGAGTTCAAGGTCAGCCTGGGATACATGAGACCTTGTCTAGTTGAAAAGAGGACAAGCACCCTGCTGGACAGAATCAAATGGCCCTGAGTGTAAGGCCAGCCAGGGCTACATAGGTCCTTTCTCAAAAGGTGGTGAGGACACAGTGGAGATGGAGATGGCTCAAACTGGGGTCAACAGTGTCTCCCAACCATCTGAACCCCACTTCCAGAGGATCCAGCGCCCTCTTCTGGCCTCTAAGGGCACTAAGCACGCACACAAGTCTAGACACAAAAACATACAGACAGCACCCAATAAAAAGAAAGCACTAGCCAGGCGGTGGTGGCGCACGCCTTTAATCCCAGCACCCGGGGGCAGAGGCAGGTGGATCTCTGTGAGTTCTAGAACAGCCTGGTCTACAAAGTGAGTTCCAGCACAGCTGGAGCTAAATAGTAAACCCTGCCTTGAAAAACAAAAACATAAACATTTAAAACAAAACAAAAAAACAGTGAAGCGTTTTGTAGTCCTGGAAGGTCTTGAACTCACAGCCACCTCCCTGTCTCAGTCTCCTGAGCTTTAGGATCACAAATTTGGGCCACGGTGCTGGATTAGGGCTTGGGTTGGGTCCCTTCATCGTCAGTGAAGGGGGCTGGACATTGACTATGTGACTTGCTGCTACTGGCTTGCTGTAGGGTTTTCTCTGCAGCCCACTTGACAGCTTTTGTTATACTGGGAGATGGGACTCCCAATTTGCCTTACATGTGTGGTCTGAGTGTGTTCTAATATTTGAACCACTGCTGATTCATGTAAAGAATAAATGTTTCCTTTTTTTGAGACAAGGTCTCATGTAGCCTAGGTTGACCTCAAATTGCCTAAATAGTCCAGGATAGCCTTGAACTCCTGATCTCCCTACAACTAGGGTGCTGCGGTTGGGATCAGCACACCCAGGTGTAAACATTGCTTTCTTGTTTCTTTATGCTCATTGGTAACAGTTTCAACCTTCTTACCTCCCTGGGGGTCATCTTGACCCTTCTCTGTATATCCATAACCTCTGGGGAACTTGGTCCCATGCACTTGTGTTTAGTGGAGAGTCCAGGCCACAGTGCCCTTCCTTGCATTGAGATGCCGTCTGCCACTTCATCTTGGACTAGGTCCCAAACCCCAGCACAGCCTCCACGCTGTTGCGAAAAGGAAGTATTTCTCAGTTCTTAGGGGGCTGATTTTCTGAAGTTCCCCTTTTTTCCTACCCCTCCCTCCTCTCCTCCTACTTGTATACACACTGCCCGGCAGCTCCTGGACTCTAGGCACGGGTTGCATCCTTTCCAGTAACATTGCGAGTGAATAGATGAAAGTTGCTGGAAATTTCTGATGAAATCCTCCAGAACTTCACCCTCCTTGCCCTTGAAATGAGTTGGGGGGCTTTCGTTCAGCTGTTGAGATCACTGGGGGAAAGACAGTGTCTGAAGGAAAACAAGGTGTTCTTAGGGTGGAAGAGGTCAGAGATCGGGAGATGGTAGATGGTTTGGTTTTCTCTTTTTATTTACTTGTTTTATTTTATTATTTATTTATTTTTTGAGACAAGGTTTCAATTCACTCTGTAGCCTCAGCTGGCCTGGACCTCTTTATGTAAATCAGGTGTAAACATTGCTTTCTTGTTTCTTTACGCTCATTGGTAACAGCTTCAACCTTCTTACCTCCCTGGGGGTCATCTTGACCCTTCTCTGTGTATCCATAACCTCTAGGGAACTTGGTCCCATGCACTTGTGTTTAGTGGAGAGTCCAGGCCACAGTGCCCTTCCTTGCATTGAGATGCCGTCTGCCACTTCATCTTGGACTAGGTCCCAAACCCCAGCACAGCCTCCACTGAGATCCTATGCCCCCTGGAGGGCTAGGTTTAAAGATATGTGTCACCACATCCTACTTTTTTTTTTTTTTTTTTTTTTAGCAGCATCTCATACATTCCAGGCTGGACTTGAACCCTGGGAGTACAGTGTGTCCAGCTGAGATTAAGGGCTCTTTGAGAAGGTGGAAGGTCCTCGCTGGTCTTCTTGTCAGGGCAGTTTAGGAACAACAGTTAAGGGCACCCCATGGGGAATCAGCCTTGGACTCGGATTCTACCGTCACCCCTTACTCTTCATGACCTGGTGATATTTATTGGAACCAAGGAGGAGCCAATGTGTAGAAAGAAGGACCTGGTTCTCGATTGGGGTATTGGAAAGAATGGTTAGAGTTGGGCAGTGGTGGTGCACGCCTTTAATCCCAGCAATCAGGAGGCAGAGATAGGAGGATCTCTGTGAGTTTGAGGCCAGCCTGGTCTACAGAGTGAGTGCCAGGACAAGCACCAAAGCTACAGAGAAACCCTATCTCAAAACAAAAAAAAAAAAAATTAAAAATTTTTAAAAAGTTTAGATATTATTGAGTATATGAACATGCAAATCTCTCCTGCCAGTTCAGGACAGTAACAGGCGGGTCCCAGCACAGGGGTAGGGTGTCTGACTGTGGTTGTCACTTCTGTGGAGTAAGAGGGGAGTTGTGACCTGGGTGGGGAGAGAGGCTTAGCTCTTTTGGCACTGCCTTCTCTTCAAGAGGTGGAGACCAGAGTGTTTATGTCACTCTTGGTTTGCCCGGAATGCAGCGCAAGTTTTCAGCGTTGTAGGTTGTCAAGGAGGCAGGAGACAGGGGTGGGAGTGGTGGGGGGAGAGGAGGTGGAAACGCGACTGAAGAGATTAGAACGTCCCAAAGGCTTATTTTATTATATTGTTATTGTTATTAATACTTTGAGGCAGGGTCTCAGTATGTAGCACTGCCTGGGATCCGATGCCACAGTGGCGTCTGGAGGTCAGATGACAGCTTGCCAGAGTTGGCTGTCCTCCCACCACGTCGATCCCAGGGACCAGTTTGTTACCAGGCTCTCAGGCAAGCATTGTCACCCTTGGAGTCATCTCACTGCTCCTAAAGGATTTGGAGAAAGTCTAGGCCAGCTTGGGGAAGGCTGGGCTCCGTGCTGACGTTCCATATTCTCCCCACTTTACTATGTGGCGGGGGTTTTACCTGCCTGTGTCTGTGTACCGTGGGTGCTCCTGGTGCCTGAGGAGGCCGGAAGAGGATGGAGGAACCCCTGGGACTGGAGCTCCAGATAGCAGTGAGCTGTCATGTGGGTTCTAGGAATTGAACCCAGGTCTTCAGGAAGAGCGACCAGTGTTCTTAACCACTGAGCCATCTCTCCAGCCTCCCACTTGACGTTTTCATGCCTGTTTCTAATATCTTTTCATCGTGTTTGCCCCACCCCCTCTCTCCTTTCACTCACTCCCAATGATAACCCTCCTCCCTTACTTAATACCGATTTTATGACACAGGGCTGGGCTACGAGCTGAAAAGTAGCAGAGGGCGACCTTGAACTCCTGACCTTGTTCTGGTCCCCCTGGTACTGGGGTTACAGTGCCCCTGTACCTGGCCCGGGGATTTACATTTAAAAGTGTAGTGAAGAACAGTATTTCTGAGGACGTGTGTGATGCTCAGCATTGGCCAGTTACCGTCAAACCCGTTGATCTGAGTTCAGCCACTAGGACCCAGGACCCCATGACACAAGGAGAGAACCAAGTCCTCTAAATTATTCTCTGACCTCTTCATGTGTACTATGGCATATGCCTCCATCAATAATAAAGTTTAAAAAAAAAAGGAGAAGAAGAGTATTTTTTGTTTGTTGGTCTGTGTATCAGCCCTGGCTGTCCTGGAACTAGTTCTGTAGACCAGGCTGGCCTTCAGTTCACAGAGATAGATCTGCCTGCTTCTGCCTCCTGAGTGCTGGGATTAAAGCCGTGTGCCACTACTGCCCAGTTTAGGATAGTGTTTCTTGACGTGTGAGCTGTGTATTCCTAACCCCAGCATTTGGGAGGCAAAGGGAGGAGGATAGGAGTTCAGGATCATCTTTAGCTTATCCAGTTCAAGACCAGCCTGGTCTACATGATACTGTATCTATGCCCATTGCTTTGTTAGCCGGACACAATTTCCTTCTTGGTGGCGGGAATCGAACCCAAGTGGTGTTGCTGACAACTATGCATTTGAGTGATTGGTCATCCTAGGGCCCTGCGGGGCTCCAGGACATGGAGGTCAGAGCAGAGTTGGGGCAAGAACCCCATTCTGTGGAAACAGACATGCCCAGCACCTGTGTGTCCTGGAAGGGAGGAAGGGCTGGAGACCGCAAAGTAGGGGAGAAAGGGGCCAAGGGATGGGGGTGGGGTGGGGCAGGTCTCGTTTCTCGTAAGTGTTGCTCAGCTCCTTTAACGCTCTGCCGGTTCTTGGAAACCCTCACCACAAGGACCTATCGAGAGCAGTGTTGGAGCAGATATGGCCGCGCCCTCCCCCCAGTTCATTTCCGCAGTGGCCTTGTGCTACTAACCCCGATTGCCAACAGCAAGGTTGCAG